CGAACCATATCAGCTGTTTGATTCTCGTTACTTTTCGCAGTGGTCCGTGAGAAAGATATTTGTTGGGAGTATGCTGAGAAATTAGATGGTAACAAGGTGAAGTGTAAATTTTGTCTTAGAGTTTTGAATGGTGGGATTAGTAGATTGAAGCATCATTTATCTCGATTACCGAGTAGAGGTGTAAATCCGTGTAGTAAAGTGAGGGACGATGTTTCGGATAGAGTTAGAGCCATACTAGCAACTAGAGAGGAGATTAAGGAAACGTCCAGTGGGAAAAAGCAGAAGATAGCTGAAGTCAAGACTATCGAAAATGCGCCATCAATGTCGACGTGTAAATCTGTTGTTTCAATGGAGGCCCCGTCTCCAATCGCCAAAGTTTTTCCAACGGTTACTCCTATGGCTCCCCCATCATTACTCAACCATGAAAATGCTGAGAAAAGCATTGCTTTATTCTTTTTTGAGAATAAGCTAGACTTTAGTATAGCTAGATCTTCATCGTATCAGCTAATGATCGATGCAATAGGGAAATGTGGCCCGGGATTTACGGGTCCTTCTGCAGAAACTTTGAAGAGTACATGGTTGGAAAGGATCAAAACTGAAGTGAGCCTTCAATCAAAGGATATCGAGAAAGAGTGGGCTACCACTGGCTGCACAATCATCGTAGACACGTGGACCGACAATAAATCAAGAGCTTTGATAAACTTTTTGGTTTCATCTCCATCCCAGACCTTTTTTCACAAATCGGTCGATGCATCTGCATATTTCAAGAACACAAAGTGCCTAGCGGATTTATTCGATTCCGTGATTCAAGATTTTGGACATGAAAACGTAGTACAGATAATTATGGACAGTAGTTTCAACTATACAGGCATTGCTAATCATATCCTTCAGACTTATGGAACTATATTTGTGTCTCCTTGTGCTTCTCAGTGTCTGAATTCAATTTTGGAGGAATTTTCAAAGGTAGATTGGGTAAACAGATGTATCTTGCAAGCACAAACCATATCAAAGTTTCTATACAATAGTTCCTCATTGCTTGACCTGATGCGAAGGTTCACGGGGGGTCAAGAACTCATTCGAACTGGGATATCGAAACCCGTATCGAGCTTCCTGTCTCTGCAATCTATTCTGAAGCAAAGGTCAAGACTGAAGCATATGTTCAACAGCCCTGAATACACCACAAATCCTTATGCAAATAAACCACAGAGCATTTCTTGTATTGCCATTATAGAAGATAATGATTTCTGGAGGGCAGTGGAAGAATGTGTAGCAATTTCAGAGCCTTTCCTAAGAGTATTAAGGGAAGTGTCTGGGGGTAAACCTGCTGTGGGATGTATATATGAGTTAATGACTAGAGCAAAAGAATCAATAAGAACTTACTATATAATGGATGAAATCAAGTGCAAGACGTTCCTCGATATCGTCGATAGAAAGTGGCGAGATCAACTTCATTCTCCGCTTCACGCAGCAGCTGCGTTTTTGAACCCGAGTATTCAGTACAATTCAGAAATAAAGTTCCTTACTTCCATTAAAGAAGACTTCTTTAATGTTTTGGAGAAATTACTCCCCTTGCCGGAGATGAGACGGGATATTACCAATCAAATATTTACTTTCACAAAGGCGAACGGGATGTTTGGATGCAGTTTAGCTATGGAAGCACGAGATACCGTTTCGCCTTGTAAGTTTTCTGCTATTGAATCTCTCAACTCCTTGCTGATTTTAGGTGAACTAAATCACTAGCTCCAGTCATGGCATTGCCAATGTGAAGAATTTTGTACACTAAAATGCTTAGATTTAGCAACTACCCGAACGTCGAGTTCGAATCCTGCATTAGGAATTATGTTCATATTTTCAATATACTTGTTTTCATTGTCCTGAATATAGTTAACGAGTGTATTCACTGCTAATATGAGAACAAAACATCCTTTGTAAGGGTGTGGAAACCTCTCCCTAGTATACGCGTTTTAAAAACCTTGAGGGGAAGCCCGGACGGGAAAGCCCAAAAGGAACAATATCTGCTAGCGGTGGACTTGGGTTGTTACAGTTAAGCTGTATTTCGTGTTCTGTTTCTTTTTTTCCTACAACTGCTAAACTTTCTAACTGTCTAGAATGCATTGTTTTCTTTTCTTCTTCTTTTAGTTGCTCTTTCCATTAAATGAATATCATTTTGGGAGCTCTGAATTAGGAATGTAGGCGTTAATACTCTTGAGGGCATGGTTTAGAATCGATATCTATTAATAGAGGTTTTAGAACGAAGAACTTTAGTCCTTCGTTTAGGAAATAGTTCTAAATGGTCGATGACCAACTTAGGTATAGCTCAACTGGTTAATGCATATGTTTTTGACCAAGAAGTCAAAATTCCGGATCTCTCCTAGCCATGATGGCTTAGTAAATCTATTATTGTTCAACATTCATTTGCATTTATAGAAGCTCACCATTTGATGTGTTGTAGGGCTTTGGTGGGAGCAGTTTGGTGACTCGGCGCCCGTGTTACAACGAGTAGCAATACGGATTCTCAGTCAAGTTTGCAGTACTTTCTCTTTCGAAAGGCATTGGAGCACGTTTCAGCAAATTCACTCCGAAAAACGTAATAAGATCGACAAAGAAACTCTCAATGACCTCGTCTACATAAACTACAATCTCAAGTTAGCTAGACAGATGAAAACAAAACCCTTAGAATCTGATCCTATCCAGTTCGACGACATTGATATGACTTCAGAGTGGGTAGAGGAAAGCGAAAACCCGAGCCCGACCCAGTGGCTCGACCGATTTGGTTCTTTGGATGGAGGTGACTTGAATACGAGACAGTTCAATGCTGCCTTATTTAGTGCGAGTGACCACATATTTAACCTGTGAGAGCGAGCGTTTGAACATGCTTGTAGTCCTCTCCAGTTCTTAGGCATTGTATCTATTCTCTTGATAAGAGGCTTCTTTTGCTGTTTTACTTCCTTTTGTTGTATTGTAGCATGAATTTGTTCCCTTGCTTTGTTGTATATAAAATATAAACTAAGCTTAGGTTATTATGCCTTCCATGATTTAATCATAGGCCTACTTTCACAAATTTCAAATTTCCTTTCGAGTCCCGAGTTTTCAAGAAATGGGTTCGTTTGGTTTCGAAAGTTATACGATGTACCTTAAAATGTATTTGGGACATGTAGAAATAAGTAAACTAAAACGATTTCTTTTTTTCTCGTGCCACATCAGATGAAAAATTAATAAAAAAATTTATTTTTATTTTGTAGTAATGAAAAAACAAACTAAAAGTAGTAGTCGTTTTGAACTTTTTTGGATCAAACAAACGTATTCTTGAAAATTCAAGAAACCAAAATGGTACGTTTTAAAATTTCTATCTCTTGATGTTTGTTTTTCATTATTACGTTGTTGATTATCTCTTGAATAAAAGAAGAAAATCCTCTTAATGTAGTTGAAGTAGATAGTCGCCTATCGAAAATAATTGAGGTGCTAGCAAGCTCGTTGTGTCCTGGTGTACCTTTGGGAATGTGGGAAGAGGGTTGCATGGGTTAAGTTTTGCAACAAGCATAACCCTCGTGTTTCGCTTCCACATTTGAAGTTGAAAACTTTGAGCAGCTATCAGTGATAAGTCAGAGGAAGGTTTGGATTACGTTAAGTTATCATGTCCATTATATTGTAAGGGACACATGTACTATAATGACCGGAACAAAAATATGTATACTTGATATGATTTATAACATATTAGATAACGTGTATAAATGTAACAGCTCAAGCTCGCCGCTAGCAGATATTGTTTTCTTTGGATTTTTCTTTTGGGTGTTCCCTCAAGGTTTTAAGAATGCGTATGTTAGAGAGAGGTTTCCATACCCTTATAAAGGAATGTTTCATTCCCCTCTCCAACCAATGTGGGATCTCACAGTTCGCCTCCTTCGAGAGCCCAGCGTCCTTGCTGGCACACCGCTCGATATCTGGCTCTGATATTGTTATAAAGGAATATTTTGTTTTAAGATCTCGAGGGGAATCCCGAAGCAAAAGTCCAAAAAAAACAATATCTACTGGCATTGTATTTGAGCTTGAATGGTTATATAGATAATGTCAGGAATTTTGTAGTACTTCCAACTATGGGTTCTTTGTATACGACAATAGTGGCCTCTTGGGATTGTAAATGTCATAAAGAATATTGTGGTTGATAGTGTTACTAGTGGTCGATGTGTTATAACAAGTTACCACCTTTAGTAGAGATTCATATATGAAACAAATGGAATGTAATTAGTGGCTAATCAACAATTTAAACAAGCCAAGAGTTGTCTTACCAAGTTCGAGTATTAGTGATTATAGTGGTTTCTTAAAGGTGTCTATGTGCAATGGAACTATCGATATTTTTCTACTTGATTGGTTTCCAAACAAATGTCTCTAAGAAGAATTACAAGTCCCGTTACTTGTAGAATCGGTATAGTTTCTTCTCTTTTTCCTATATTTCCTTTTTAGAGAAATTTAAACATCTGATCTCTTCGTTCAGAGCACGTATTTTTAATCTCTTGGTTCAGAGCACGTATTTTTAATCTCTTGGTTGAGGACATGCTTTAACCAATTCTACTACGATCCAGTTAGCTAAAATTGTTTGTGATATCAATAGAGAGCTATTACCCGTTGTTGTGCTTTTTTTTTTTTGCCTCTTTTGAGGCTTGTTTTCTTTCGACACTAAGATAGCATAAACATTTTTCATTCATAAACTAATTTTGATCACCATTTAATTTAACTTTTTATTTCATTATACACTAAAGGTTTTTCAAAAATGAAACAAACCAAAAATAAAATAATTATCAAACAAGAACCTAAATAAATTTCTCTCAACAATCAAGCCCACCACTAATAGATATTGTATGCTTTGGCTCGTTATATATCGTCGTCAATCTCAGAATTTTAAAATGCGTCTGCTGATAAGACGTCTATTAATGAGAGATTTCTACTCTTATAGTCTAATCACGTTCCGAATCGTTTGATTTTTGTTAACATAACAGGGCCAATGAACAACAGCACGAGAGTGTTGCCACTCGAGAGTTATCCTGAATTATAGGTGCTTCATAAAACAGTGCCTTTAATAATCTACATTTCTCAAAGGTCCAACTCGCCTGAATGAATTAACTAACATACATCCGGATGTGCTAAATGAACGCCAAAATAACAGATAAGAACGTCTGTATGATGAAGTGAAGTCCAAAGAATGAAGAAAATACTGTTGTTGCACATCTTACAAACTGTGAACCTCTGGTCAGTCTCTCGAGAACTCAGCGTTAGCGTAACAGAATCCGAAGACAGTGTCCGACGAGCTAATATTATTGTCTTTCGCCAAGCGACACACACGACATCATAAACATGTAAATTAGTTCTGTGTTCTCTTCAGGCTGGCACTTCCCCTTCCCATCAAGGATTTTCAAGCAAGCCAATCAGACACCTGCGCAAATGGCTCCTGAAAAGGGAGAAACAACAAAATTCAACTTGCTAAGAACTTGGTACTTTTAGTGTTAATGTTGAAGTTTGGGGGTTTGAAGATTTTCAATTCTGATCTGTTGTGTTAGAGCTAGAGGGAGACAGACCAGCAGACCAAGAAGAGCAGCAAAACTTCCCCTCGTCAATGTATGTGGCATCGAGCCCGATAAACCAGGAGCCGGCCGTGACATCGTCATGGGCGTAAGAACGGAGAAGAGATCTGCAGATTGAGAAACCTGATGTAATCATGCCTGTTGAGCTATGTAAAATGCAGACAAGACGATGGATAATAAGCAGAAACACTTGCCTGTTTATTGAAATGAACTTGGCCAGAGCTTTTGATATGACATACATTTCGCCGGAAGCATGACGGAAGTATCTGTATGTGTTGGTCAAAGATGGCAAATTTTATTACAAGAACACAATTATGAAAAACAGCCATAATGAAGTAAAGAAAACTTTCCCAAGAGATGAAAATATGGTTCACAAATCCAGTTAGGATCACCGAGTCAATGTTCGGTTCAAAACGATTTTCAATATGTGCATTTAGCAAGTGTTCTTTTACTAAAGTACTCAATAAACAATAAGTTTTCATCCTACACCTTTAGAGTAGTGTTTTTCCACAAATACTTTCTCAAATATATATGCATATATAAGTACTTTCTAAGACAAAAACACTTTTAAATTGACTTTCTCTATATATTCTCCAAAGCCCAAAACATGATAAACATAATAATCTCGAGTGGAATGAGTTTTTGACCATGGCAAAAGTGGACGAACACCGGCAAAGGAAAGAATCTAGCAGAACGAATTAGTAACATTAATTTTCGGCGTATACAGATGCAATTAACTTACGCTTTTTTATCACCAAATTTCCACCAATCTGGTTCATACCATTTGTGGTTCCTGAAAAGATCCAAATGGAGAAAGATGAGAGATTTAGTTTCATGGTTAAATGTCCACTACCTACGTTATATGTCTGCTGATTTACGCCATACTCACGGTTCTGAGAACACTTCACCAGATTTCATGCACCCAATATAGACACGAGGTTTGTCCAAGTAAGAAGCAAGTGTGCTCCCTAGGACATCTGCATAGAGAAAAAATAATTACAGATATGATTAGCTAATGTATACATTTTAGCTCAAAAGTGCCATACGCCCGAAATGGGAAGAAGCTGAGAATAGCTTCACTTCAATGGGAAAAGTAACGTTGAAGGTATGGTAATAGTTGTGTTTTATAAGAAATAACACAATTGAGGGCATTTTGTTTAGGAAAAAAGGGTCATGAAAATAAGACCAAACCTAAGAAAATGAACCCTAAGAAAAGAAAATTACAAGAGAATCACTGTTAATGACTTCAAACTTCAAACTTCTCAAGACTTCTCTAACCTCTTAAAATTTTCTTCTTATTTCTAAGACAATACTCCAAAGAAAAGCAAAAGAGCCAGTCTCCTCAACAATGCTCCCCGTCTTCAAATAGATGATGCAGAACACCTTCCATTATGGTGCGACTGTCTCAACCAACGTCGTATTGCATTAATTAACTCACTTTCAATACAAAGAGATATAGCGCTGGCTTATCAAGAAAATTTGATCATCTCACTAGTCGTCTTTTTACTTCTTGATTGTTTTAGCATGAGGCATGAAGTTTCATTGACAGACTGATTTTGTTTCTTACTTTCCCGGAGGATTTTTACATGCAAAGCTAGATGGATTAACGGGAAATAGTTCATCTCACTAGTTGTACTAACCAATATTTATGTAAACATCATCATTGACTTTGGCATAAAATTCAGCATCCCATTTATCAACTGCATAAGCAAAAAAAAGCTTGGCCTTCTTTGATAGCTCCTCCGGTGCCTCCACATGGTCGTTCTGTAAAGAAGTAGGCTAAAGAAAATCAACTAAATTTTACTCAGGTAACAAAAATTGCTTCCCCGAGAAACTGATGATTTTGATGCTGAAGCAAACCGTCTATAACAATTAAGGAAACATACATGTATAATGAAATCATTATATTGTCCGTTTTCATCGTCAATGGCCCTGTCTAAACTGTCCCCTCGGTTTGGACTACAAGAAAGCATACAAAACCAGCCATTAACATTCAATTGAAAATCAGAATATTAGACATAAAGAGAAAAAAATGAATAGAGATAAAACCTTCTTCCAATGACAAATCTAGCAATTATGCCCTTCTGATTCTCCATTTTTCTCAAAGAAGCACCTGCAAATAAAGCTCTTAGGTTTAAACATTCAATAAAACAGCGTTAAGAAATGATTTTAATATACACAAACATAAACTATATTTTCAAAATGTAGCAATCAGAAAGGGGGAAGACATTTGTTTCCCTGCCATGAGAAAGTACAATGAGGAATTACAGAGTCACAAAAACTGATCTTTCTCACACCATAACGAGCCTCCAGTCTTAATTATTCATTCTTAACCCTAATTTTTCTTTGTATATTCTGAGGTATACAAAACCTCAATCCTGGCAATTCGGTATGTGAATAACTTCGACGACAGGGAAGAATAATGCATTACCAGTTCCCATCCATGCTTTACGAATTGCATCTCTATTGGTTTTGCGGCCAAATCTGGTGATAACTCCAATTACAACCAAGGGGATCTTTGTTTCGTTAGTCTCTCTTGAATGCTTCACCATAAAACCCTCCTGCCTAGCAGCAGCCAAGTCCATCTCAAGCGCCAACAACTTCTTCTGTTGTTCCCTATAGAAAAAGTATAAATATTACAAGAGATGGGAGCTGTGTACTTAAAATTAGATAGTTTAAATCCAACCAAATGAAAATAAGTACTACCTGCAAGCTATGATTTTTAATGTATCATCCACTGAAATTGCAGATTGACCCTGTACAGGTACCATGGATCAATTTGAATAATCCAGAGAAGACAAAACTAAGCAAGTGGATATGAAATCAACAAAAATCGCAACTAGATCTGCAGCGAAAAGAAGGGGCGTAAAAATACCGAATTCAAAGCCAAGATCTGATAGCTACTATTGCATTTTTTGGCTAAGCCATAGCCTCATTGGTTAATTTATGGCTAAATCATCCTATGCTATATTCTCATTGTGATGATTCAACATCAACAAACATATTTTGATTGATTTAAATTACCATCCAGAATTATGATCCAGGTATCCACTCGTACCTTGTAACGAAAAAAACAAACAAAAACGAAAACAGATCGCTGGACCTTACTTGAACAAGATCTGTTCTATTAGGTTGTACAACTGTGTCCTTGAGTTCTAACAAAACAACAACAATCTTGATGCAAAAAAGCACATAATGTATTATATTTCAAAGACCTCCATGGAACTATCAACCGCTGTTTCTTCCCTACGCATACTACCCCTTCGAAGGATATTTATATCAATTGAATTATTAATAAAAATCATTCCAGTTAGTTTAATAATTGAACCGCTTAAGCTCAGACAAGTGCAAGTCGGAATGTAGATGCTCAATAGTCGCTTACAAATAATGTTAACTAAAAATTCCAGAAATCAGTAAGCACCATTAATGGATACAGCGGTTTACCCACCTGACCAGTTAACCTGTCCAGCTCTTTAATCAAGTAAACCCTGTTCTCCGCATCCTGCCATAACCTGCAAATCATCCAGAATTCAAATTGATCCGTAACCAAATATCGAGGGAAGAAGAAATAGTGGGAACGATGGAATCAAAGAGAACGAACCGGCCAGCGACATAGATTGAAGCGAAGGTAGCGAACATGGAGAGCAAAAGTGTGGGAATTCGGGATCGAATAGGCATGCTCGAAAGCCGAGCATTCGATCCCTTACTTCGCATCTTCTCAGCGACTGATAGATTTCGTCTTCAACCTTCAAAACCCCAAAACAATCAAACCTGAGGCATTTACCAGATCTTGAAGATCACCAAATCGACTCTGAAACTTCGGAATTGGAAAATGATAGGCAGAATCAATTGGATTTCGGAATGGAGCGCTAGAGGTGGACGAGAAATTCGATGAGAGAAAAAGGAGAAGATCGATTTAGGGGTTGGTGAAAAATTCAGTACCGTTCAGCGATTGGGGATGAACAGATTGAGATTATACATTCAAAAATCTCATTATCAAATTTGGTATGTGACAAAAACGCAGGTAATTATTCAAACTATAAAACAAAAACAATTTAAAAACATCTCGACTTCCAAAAATTCAGTTTCAAATTTTAACTTCTGTGTTCTCTAATGAAACTAACAAAAATTGATATTAAAATAATTTTTGTGAAAATAATAATTTAAAATTTTAAGTAAACTTGTAATTAGGTTGGTATTATCATAGTTATAAAATTAACTCTCTAGTTTATATTTTCAAAATTTATAACCCCGATGTGCTAACTTAAGATTCGGAATCAGCCCACGTCCATGCTTCCGACCCATACCCACACATGTGACCCAACACCTCTAAATGGTTCAACAAGTCCAACTGCTATCGACCCACGACTGTATCCCGACATCCACATGAAGCTTAGACATGTGTGACCAGAGTGTTCATTACGGTCCTGATATGGTGACCCTAACCAATTGGACGTAAGAATCTTCCTGAATTCTCGTGGATATATAAACTCCTATACCCACACATGTGACCCAACACCTCTAAATGGTTCAACAAGTCCAACTGCTATCGACCCACGACTGTATCCCGACATCCACATGAAGCTTAGACATGTGTGACCAGAGTGTTCATTACGGTCCTGATATGGTGACCCTAACCAATTGGACGTAAGAATCTTCCTGAATTCTCGTGGATATATAAACTCCTATACCCACACATGTGACCCAACACCTCTAAATGGTTCAACAAGTCCAACTGCTATCGACCCACGACTGTATCCCGACATCCACATGAAGCTTAGACATGTGTGACCAGAGTGTTCATTACGGTCCTGATATGGTGACCCTAACCAATTGGACGTAAGAATCTTCCTGAATTCTCGTGGATATATAAACTCCTATACCCACACATGTGACCCAACACCTCTAAATGGTTCAACAAGTCCAACTGCTATCGACCCACGACTGTATCCCGACATCCACATGAAGCTTAGACATGTGTGACCAGAGTGTTCATTACGGTCCTGATATGGTGACCCTAACCAATTGGACGTAAGAATCTTCCTGAATTCTCGTGGATATATAAACTCCTATACCCACACATGTGACCCAACACCTCTAAATGGTTCAACAAGTCCAACTGCTATCGACCCACGACTGTATCCCGACATCCACATGAAGCTTAGACATGTGTGACCAGAGTGTTCATTACGGTCCTGATATGGTGACCCTAACCAATTGGACGTAAGAATCTTCCTGAATTCTCGTGGATATATAAACTCCTATACCCACACATGTGACCCAACACCTCTAAATGGTTCAACAAGTCCAACTGCTATCGACCCACGACTGTATCCCGACATCCACATGAAGCTTAGACATGTGTGACCAGAGTGTTCATTACGGTCCTGATATGGTGACCCTAACCAATTGGACGTAAGAATCTTCCTGAATTCTCGTGGATATATAAACTCCTATACCCACACATGTGACCCAACACCTCTAAATGGTTCAACAAGTCCAACTGCTATCGACCCACGACTGTATCCCGACATCCACATGAAGCTTAGACATGTGTGACCAGAGTGTTCATTACGGTCCTGATATGGTGACCCTAACCAATTGGACGTAAGAATCTTCCTGAATTCTCGTGGATATATAAACTCCTAGGTCACAAATGCTAAAATCCTCCAATCAAGAGGATTGTAACTCTGGAAATTATATCTAATGACGGTATTGAAGAATAAGACTTAAGGTCTAAATATCCAAGAACTTTGAAAATGATAAGGAATTGCCTCGAGGGAAAATAAGATTTGGATTATAATGTTAATAAAATATCTCGAGGCAAAGAAATTCATTTAAGATTTAAATCACTCCACGAACAAAATTGATCATATCAAGTTTGAATGATTCTAAGCATGCAACTTAAACTATATAAGACTGCAAAGAATCTTAGCATCGGGATGCCTTTAGCCCAGAGAAAGTCTAAATGTTATTTTTAAATCTAGTGGCTTTTACAACTCGTAGAGGCGACTCTTACAAGCCAACTCCTCCCAGTGGCTTTCAATTGACTTGGCGACTCTTGGTCAGCTTAGATCACCTGTTTTTTTTGGCCAAATTTGATCCAATTGACCATTTTCAAATCGTTTTGGAGCAATTTTTGACGTAATTAAAGGCATTTAACATCAGTAAGGCTACTCTTTTGCTAATTTGAAATTTTTATGGTTGTTTATGATTAGTTGGAGGATTAGGTGAAGTTAGTTTCTTAAATATGTTATAAGTTCGATGTCATGGAATGTCACGGTGAAATTTGACCACAAATAGGATTAGGCTGCTACCGACTAAGAAACATCAGTAACATCAGTTTAGATCCAACACTATTGGTGGACTTACTACTGGAATGCCAAAATGCCAACGAGTTAGATTGGATGAATTGAATAAAACATGAATATCGTGTAACCTGTGACCTTTTTCTTGTCTGATATTATTTTATGTTATGATGTTCTAGTATTTTTCGTAAGCCATGTACTTCGTAATTTTAATTAGGTTTATTATATTACTATGATTACGCGTGCCTTGTGAGATACTACGACACACCATGTATTACGAACAAGTATGAAATGCTATGAACATGTAAGCACATCTCATGGAGAATTCATGTTCTGAAAAGTACGGAAGTACTGTGCACTTATACTATTCCATGATTTTAAATGTAAAACCTCATGCATGTTATATGTTATGAATATGAATTATTTCTCTAATGTGTGTTATGCACTGATACGTACATCACTATATTATATGTGCTCCTTTTTATTGTTGTTTTCTGTTTTTTTTTTTGTTGGTCTCTGCCGTGTGAGTATACACTAGCCTATAATCAGGTCTAGGGATACACATATGAGTTTGCCTAGTGGATTTATGAACGAGTGTGTGGAACCGTGTGTAGAAAAGTATTATACATAAAACTGTACTCGAAAAAGAGAGTAAAACTCATGAAACAATCACAAAAAAGTAGGTTCATAAATCGTGAGCCAGACAAGGGGTGATTGCATTTTTCGATACCAACAATAAAGTCACTTACTGATTAATTTTTAATATTTATGGTATGTATATCATTTTTCTAGATAAAGACAAGGGTCTAATTATAACTCCTTTAACCTTTTTTCTAATTATATAATTTTGTAATTTACTTATCTAATTTAATATAATTAACTCTGTCTCTATTGTATACCACATTTGATTCTTTTACGCGTAAATTACACTTAAATATTTACAATTAAAGTTTATATAATTTTATAAAATTTAAATTAAAGATAATTATTAAGATTTATTACTAAATACACTCAAAATCCTAAAATTTAGAATGTAAGTAACATGCATTAACATTCAATTAAATTTTATTTAATAATTTGACATAATAAAAATAAAATAGTTTAACAATAGTCAACATCTAAAATTAAACTAGATAATAAAATTATTGAAAATATTTTATCTATATAAAATTCTGTGATGCAGTAATAATAATATTAAATACGATTATTTGATTTTTAGACATTTTTTTTCCGAATATTATAAACTGATAAAGAAAAATATAATTCATTGAGTTGAAAATATTTATTAATAAATTTATTTTGATTACAAAGTTTGATTGCACACTTCGATTGAAAATAAAAAATATTTTTTAATATATTTTGATCTGCATCATTTGATTACCACTTATTATTATTATTTCGTATTGTCTGGTTTTTTTTTTGTTTGCTATGAATTTTTTCAAATTCACAAAAAATATGACTTTTATTTCAAACTTGGATAATAAAAAATTACAAGTATTGAGTTTATTTATTTCTTTTTATTATTATTTATTAAAAAAATCGAGACATGGGTTTTTATTTTTAAACCTTCACTTTGTTTAATATATACTAAATTAATAAAAATACATGGTATTTTGCCTTAAAAAAATATTTTTAATTTTTAAATTTTTTTTAAAAATACACTTGAGAAAATTTCATTAATATCTTTTGAACTTTTAAAAAAAAGTTTAAAAATAGGTTTAAAAAGTTCACATGAAATTTTAAAAATATCATTAATATCTTTAACCTTAATAAAAAACAACGTTTAAAAAAAATTCTATCGACATCTTATAGATCATCTCTATTTTTAATATTATTTTTAAAATTTCGTAAATATTTTTGAAAAGTAATACTAATTATGAGAGTATTTTTGATTTTTTTTTTAAAATAGTTAAAAAATATTTTAAAAATTCTAGGCGTATTTTAAAAGTTTATACAAAAGTTTAAAAATATTAAAAAAATTAAAAGTGTTTTTGAAATACTTTTGAAAATTAAATGATATCATTTAAACCCTTTTGAAATTTTAAAGTGTATTTTTAAATTAGGTATCAACATTTTTTTTTATTCAAAACTAACGGTGTTTAAATTTTTTTTTTTTTAAACTTAAATGTATTTTTGATATATATATATTTTTAAATTAAAGGTAATACTGAAACGTTTTAAAAAATTTATGAATATTTTTGAGATAAAGTGGAGGGTTATTTTTATTAATTTAAGTATAATAAATTAACATATATTTAAATTGAAAAGTATAAAAAAGAGGAATTTTTAAATTAATAGGTATATTTGTAATTTGTGATTTACCTTCATCTTTAGGGCTGCTCTTTACGCTACCAACTGTAGCGAGCACTCGGAAAATTACGCAGACACACAGAAAATATTGTAGCTGCCGGTCACTATTTTTCGAGGTATCGGTTTTGAGACTGAATTACGCCGGCGTGAGTCTCGGTGTGGAAGGCTGGAAACGCCGTGGGTCTTGGTCTTCCACGGTAGCATCAGACGGCTGTTGTAGCTGTGTTTCGCGGTGGTTTCCGATTCGTTACGAGTGGTTTAGCTTGTGAGGTGATTTCACAGTTGATATTCGTTTGAAGCTCAAATCGGTCAAGGTATGAGATATCTTGTTTTTGTTGATGCGATTCAGTCCGTACATATTGGGGGCTGACTTATTCCTGCGTAACTTTGTTTTTGGTGACTTGATGCTCTTAAT